TTACATACCTATAATATGAGTTTAATAAAAACGGAACTCATACAATTAATAATTTCAGAAAGTACTTAACATTTTCTAAAAATATGAACTGATATCGGACACACCCTAAAACGCATATTTGACAAATAATTATGACGTAACGTTGACCGATGGCTGAACACATAGTACTTCTATATTATGCTTTATTCTAAATACCGTATGATCGAAAAAAAACGGCGTCCAGTTGGCTGGGAAATGAACATCGATGACATTTCCTATATAAATTTACATATAAAATGACAGCGATCTTCATTCCATAGCCATCGCTGACGCCGTTTTTTCTCGATCATACGGTACATACAACCCTAAATTTTCACCCTTATACCATCAACCCCTATTTTTTAGGGGTTGATTTAAGAAAAACTTTCTCCTCCGAAACGGTTGAACCGATTTTGATGAAATTTTATATTGTTATACCTTAAATTAAAAACGTGAGTATGATTGGGTACATACCGGGTATACTGGTATTTACCCAAATTCAATATACCAGTTATTGATCCTACCAGGTACAAAAACTTAGGTATTTGCCCAAATTTCAACATACCGGGTTTCTTGCTCATCACTGACCTTAGTCACAGCAACTCGTGGACGGGTCTGCTAGTATGTAATATAATTTGAAATTTTTTTTTATTATACCATCATAGTTTCAATATTTTATGACAGAATCTAATACTTTTTTGGAAGCTGTTAAAACGTCTATTATCAAGACATTTCTGGGTATGTATTTCTAAGAAAATGTTCAACGTGTTCTATTTATTAATAAGTAATATACCATTAAAAGAATTTTTATTTTCTTGTTCCTAGCGGCTTGCTGTTGTTTGAGTGAATTACAGGCTTGGAAAAGTAATGTTTCCATGCCGGAGATCGATTTTGTTGAAATATTACCCATTACGTGAATTTATTTCTTTTCTAGACCATTCTTATTTCAATTTTACTGTATAGCTGAAGCTTTTATGTCGTTAAATAAAAGCTTTAGCTTGACAGTACTACACAATTTTTGTGTGAGTTAACTTGTTACCTATAGTCAGTTGCTTTAATAAACATTTTATAGAATGGCTTATATACATGTAAAAAAATACATTAAGAAATATCTACTTTATTAATTGAAATAGACTATTAAATTATTATTTTGTAATATTTTACTAAACTTTGACAATAATAGATGTTATAGACCTTTATATAAAATTTTGTTCCCAAAACTAAATATAAGTTTGAGATACTGTTCTTGGAAGTATTCAGCAAAATTTAAGTTGCGAACATATTCTTCCAACTGCTTTATATTTGTGAATATATCGGAAATGTTAGATTAATTAACTTAAGGGGGCTTAAAGTTTGTTAGATAGAGTAACGTCTCTAGAGAAACTTAACTCCTCATCAACTCTAAAAGTTGGAGTAGATTTTGCTTGAACTAAAACGTGGAGAAAATATTAAATTAATACAATACATAAAGTAATATCAAAGAAATTTATGTCATAGGTACTCTGTGGTAAAACACACCATTACTTGCTTGTAATGTTAATAGTTGATTTCAGTTCAGAAAAGAAGGTTTGAGAGTAATAAGTGCGGTAATTTTTTTTACCGAACTGAAATTCTAAAAGTTATTTTATTTAGATTTCATGTACAGGATGTCCCATTTTGGTTGAAATCATACAGTATCTCCGTTATTAGTGAAGATAGAAGGAACTGGTTTGCACAAACCTGTCCCACTTTTCTGTCAAACGGAAGATGCCGTAAGAAAAATTTTCATAGCTCTCTTCGTGTCTGAGCTACAGGGTCTTTTTGAAAATTTTGCAATTTGGGTCACCCCCTGTATCTCTGTTATTGTTAGAGCTATCGAGAAGGTGAAAACTGTTTATTGTAGAACTTTTTACGTAGAATACAGTGGCATAGTCTGTTATTCTATAAAAAGAATATTTTTAAAGATATGAACTCCAAAGTTATGTTTCCTTAAATGGAACACCCTGTACATTCATAAAGTATATGATATGGCTTGTCATAAGCTTCTCAAAAATATATATCACTCTATATTTATTTTCATTATTTACTGCAACATTTAAAAGTTTTTATTAAAAGATCATATTTATTAGTAGCCCATGATTGATAATAAAAGAAACTAAAGAATTATTAAAAGCATACTATCTGTCCCAAGTTTTATTTTGGGAGCCACATCTTATTGGAAATTTTAGATATTCCTTTAGGTAATTTACGTGAAATATACTTTCAACAACATGGCCCCCCCTCACAAATTTGAAAATATTAAATTATTATTTCTCAAATCAATGTATTGGAATCAATGGACCCATATGATGGCCTCCCTGATTTCCGGATTTGTCCGTTCTCGATTTCTGATTTTGGCGATTTTTGAAATATGAAATATGTATATAGTGGCAACTACAACAATGTCGAATACCTGGAAAATGCTTTAATAATGCAAGCTAATAATTCAAGGTTTTAGATATTTACGAGGATTTTTGCAAACTATGCAAACCCATCCAATTATAATAAATTCCTTTATAAAAAAAAAGAAAAATATATTCAGAAATTCACTGGTAACAGTTCAGAAGTAAAATATATCAATCCCAAATAAAATTTTAATATATGTATAACTATTTTAGCATTTTTTTGTTATTTATCACGGCCTACTAATAAGAAAATGATATATTTTAAATATCGCAGTAAATAGTGAAAATAAATATATAGTGATACATATTTGAGAAGCTAATAGCAAGGCGGATCATATGATTTATAAATATTCAGGGTGTTAGGTTAGAATAGGTATTTTGTTCTATTTGAAAACATACCTTTAGGTCATATTTTCAAAAATATTTTTTTCGTAGACAAACAGACTACGCTTCTGTATTCTACGTAAAAAGTTTTACTAGAATCAGTTTTCACCTTCTCGATATCATCCACAATAACTGTGATACGGGGGCTGTCCTCAATTGCAAAATTTTCGAAAAGACCCTGTAACTCAGAAACAAAGAGAGCTATAAAAATTTTGTTTACAGCATCTTCCGTTTGACAAAAAAGTGGGACAGGTTTGTGCAAACCGCATCCTCCTATCTTTACTAATAACGGAGATATCATATGATTTCAACCAAAATGGGACACCCTGTACTCGTTCAGGTATTCATTCAGGAGACATTTTACATCATTTTGAAGACCTTATATGTCTATATTACATTCATGTATTTTCAGATTTATATTTATAATATCACAGACCGATTTGGTTGAGGTTTCTAGCAATAAAAACCTCAAAATGTAGTTTCATTCGTATAAAATCTTTTGCTAAGGGTTTCAATTTTTGTCAAATAAAAAATCCACCCTCATCATTCATTCCGGATAAGATTACTCCATCTATTATCCTCGTTTCCAATTTTGTTTCAGCCGTCTCTGTTTTACCCTTCTCCAGTCGTTTTTTCTTCTGTAGCAACGATCTCTATCATGCACGGTTCAAGGTCCGAATCCAAAATAATTAATGTCAGCCTTTACATTGTTTTCTTTTATAAAGTATTATATGTTTTTTTTGCGTCGGGTTTGTGTGAATGTCATTACTTATTCGACATATATACAGGGTAGGCCACTGAAAACTTACAATGGCTACAATTTTTAAACAAAAAAAGATACCCCACTTGTGACACTTCTTTGGACAGCTAAATGAAATTACTAAACGATGGTCATACAGACTTCAACTTAATTACAGAAAAGTAGTGATAAGAAATGTAGGTGTGACAATTTGAAAGAAATTTAAAATTATAATTTATTTTAACAGTTGCTCAAAATGACAGCCGTTTTCTTCCATACAAAAATACAAACGATTTTCAAATTCTTCTCTCACTTTTTGGAAAGTCTCTCTCGGAATATTTCGACATGCTTCAATTATCCTCTGCCGCAATTCTTGCAACGAACCTGGTTGGCTCCATCTTGCTGAAAGTGCACGAGGTCTTCATTAAGAGTTAAATTTCCTTCCAAATCTCTTTGATTTTTAACCTCATTTACAAATCTCTCTATCAAATTGTTAAGCATTTCCACATAAGCATCACCAGTCAAATTTCTGTCGATGAAAAATGGACCTATAAGTTTATCGTCTAGTATTCCGCACTAAACATTGAGCTTTTGAAGATGTTGGGTGTGTCCTTTAACAACAATATGCGGATTCTTATCGCTCCAGTATCTGCAGTTCTGCTTATTTCCGTATAAAAAAATGAGCACTCGTTACTAAAACAAATATTTTTAGTGAGTGAAGGTTCCCTTCGAATTTCCTCCGTCATTAGTTCACAGGAACCCTTCTATCTGGTCGTTGTAGGGATGGAATTTGTGCATTTTCAATACTCTTCTGACAATTGTTCGAGGTATACCTGTGATTGATGCCAACTGACGTGTTGCTGCTTCTGGATTGACCGATACCGGACCAATAACTTCCATCTGCATTTCTTCATTCAGTCCCTGTCTATTTTTTTATTTTTAACCGATCCAGTTTCTTGAAGCGAATCAAATAAAGGTTTAAAATACCACCAAATTTGCACAAATGATTGAAAATCGATAGAAGACAGTGCAAAAACGCAAAAATATGCAGTTTTAAGATTCCTGTTGAAAGTAAAAAAAATAGATGATAAGGAAGAAATTGCGTTATCGCAAAATTAGGCTGAACGATTAGTAAAACATCTTTATGTTGCAAGGGTTGAAGCCTAAGGGTTAGGTCGGGGTGGTTCAAAAAATACGTCATATGTATTCCCCCTCGATATTATAGAAACAGTATTTTTTATTTTTTTGATATCTTTTTTGGTTTAAAAATTATAGCCATTGTAAGTTTTTAGTGGCCCACCCTACATAAATTCACAGTTTTAAAATTAATTGCTGCACAGAAGCTTTTGAAATTTATATAACGCATTTTTAATTTTTTGTTAAAAAAATATTTATATTATTTTTATTGATCTAAAACCTAATGGGATGGAACTTACTGTATCCTGAAGAATAAGTGAATACTATTGGAGAAATCCAGATGAGGAACAAGAATCTCCAGTTCAGTTCGTTGAGCATGATTGCGATCTAAAAATAAAAAAAAAACATATAGAAAATTAAAATAACTTCAGTATTATTAATGTGAGATTAAAAATATCAAAATAACATTATACTAGATTAAATTAAAGAAATTCGTGGATATTAAGGGTTTATATTGAAATAAATATTTTTTGTGTTTCTTCCATATAAACAAAAGGGGGTAGCAATTAACCTCCCAGCCCCCCTAGATACCCGCCCCAGCATTATACAATGTTTTATAGCCTCTCATGCTACGATAAGCACTAACCTCGACGTCCCAGTAGTTAAATCGCATACCCAACAATGTTGTCGTTTGCTGTCGCCTACTTTATGAACGGTTTGCATTTACAAGACATATACCGTATGATCTTGGAAATGAATATCGATGACATTCCTCATATAATTTAATTGGTTAATAAATAAGTGAAATGAATACCAGTTTTTCTAATAGCAGTGTTTGCGAGTATCTAAATTTAACTTTTCTAACATGTCTTGAAAACCGTTCTCTAAAAAACGTAAGTAACGTTCACCGGTCAACGTATCCTCGAAACTGTATGGCCAAGAAGAGTTGAACCAATAATTCTACACGCTTTTCTTCATTTGGAAAATTCATATTTACAATTTTTATTTATTTTAATTTACAAAGTTTGGATGTGACAGTTTCACATTTCTGAGAACGACGATTGGATTTGTTTCCATGGCTAACTAAGTGAAATTAGTCAAGAAAGATAAGAATTGGCTATAACTCAGTAATTTTGTGAAAAAAAATATATTATATCTAGCTTAGGTATATCACTGAAAAGCTTAAAAAATGGCGCTTTTTTGAAGTCATGGCCAACTATGGTTTCCATTTAAAAAAAAACATATGTTTGTGTCATAATATGTCAAATATTACAGGCTTTAGAAAAAATCGGAGAACACAAACTCATTAGGGATGTGATTATCTACAACTTTTTTCTGAAAACTTTTTGTCTAAAAGAGATTATAATGAAATTAGGGACAATTTTTAAAATAGCCAGAATTTGTTTTTTTCGTAATATCTAGTAAGCCTCGAACTTTTTCAAAAATCTGAAAGGCGTATATTTATATCCCATAAAACTGCAATTCTTTCCCCATTTAACCGACTCTCTATCTCCAGTAGTTTCCGAGATACCCACAGAGAACATCGTAGGAAACTCACCCTGTATGTGTATGAAATACTGATTGACGCTCATAAAGCGGGATGACAGTGTCAAAGTTACCTTGACTAACTCGACTAACTTTGACTAACTTGATTAACTTTGACTAACTTACTGGAATCAAGTACATTTGGATGCTGTCATATAACTGTTCATATATAATATGGGTTTTTAACATCAAAGAAAGTAGGCTGACTTGAAACTTACTTGGGTGCTACGAAACTGTTCAATTCGACAAATTATATCAAAGGCATATAAATAAAATATAAAGAATCTTCAGCAAATAGTATGCATCTTCCTTTTTACAAATATTCTGAAATTTATTAATTTTCGCCTCTCAAGCAACTTAACGTTCTTTCTCTTACTTCTGATATCTATAAGAAAGAACGTATTATAACTCCACAGTTGTTACCATGGTGACGTCATTATGTCGAGCGAAAGTTATACGTTAGGGAAATGACGAAGGAGGAGGGGGAGGGGGAGTATGGCGGCAAAAAGTTGCGAAGGTGAGAAGTAAGGGGAGGGCGGTTATAGCGCCTGTTGTAATCTGCAGATTAGGCGGTAATGGTACTTGGGAATGAGGTTGGAGATGAGAACAAGAGGCCGCTTTTAGAGGGCACTAGAAATGGAATGAGATGCAATTTGACAGTTTGTTTGCTACACAGTGTGTCCGTCCATTTATAATGCCTGTAATATTGTTTTATTTTCTGCAAAATGTATATGCTTGGTGGATTTAAGTTGATTTCAACAAATTCCGATCGCAGCGCTTCAACGGCAAAAATCAGAAATTATCAGTACCTTTTCACACTGCACATTAAAATAATATTGAAATCGTGGTTTTGTCATAATATTTAATTATTTTAGTTTTTTGCTAGTGCAGTAATTGAGACTATAAAACACTCAGGTACGAGGATTGTGTGATGTAACGCTGTTTCGGGTAGTAAAAAATAAGTGAAAAAGAATCCGAACTAGGCGCCGCATTGTGTTGTGACAATTTCAAATGTTAATATATATATTATATTTATATATTTAATAAAATTGCCGAAAAAATGTTAACGCGTAAAGGAGAGCGTAATTAGGGCGTTGTTGGGTGCAACAACATTCAATAACTCAACTTTCCCGGATATTCAACTCTCCCAAAACAATATTTTATAGCTTCATAGTTTCTTACACCGATTTGATCAAAAGCAAAAATGGATTCAAGCAGTTCTACGAAACAAGTGAGTAAACAAAGTGCATTGGCTACCTACAGCTAGTCATGATCTGGTCTATCCCTGGCGTCGGAGAGCGGCGACGTGGGTCTACGTCTCTCTACCTTGCCTTGAATTATGAGTCTTTAAATATTGTCCGGATTTTTCCTCATTATATGTCCAAAATATTTTAGTTGTTTTAGTCGGATTTTACAGGAGAGAAAGCCTGTTGGTAATATTAATGATGATGTAAACAAAGTTAACAGAAATTTTTTTAATTAACAAAAACTCGTTACATAATCAAAAATTAAAAATTAAATAGACATACATATACTATGAGAGGATAAAATATAATTTGCAATATTAAAGGATACTTCTTTTAATCAACTAGTGATTAAATGCTTTATGAACATCTTATAAAATTATAATTATGTACCTTTAAAAATTTTCGTTATAGCCGAAATAGCCCCAATTATGCCCCACTAGCAAAACCCGTGATTAAAACTATGCTCGCTACCGTAGGTGAACTCATCTAAACACTGGAATAATAAATTATAATACAAGTTGGACCTTCTGAAGATATCAAAATATTTACTTTTTTATTTATATTTTTAGAATTTTCACAAATCATACTTCCTAACAGTTTTAGAATAATTAAAAAATACATTTTTCGTATTCTCGCTATTTAAACCCGTGTATTTGTAAGTACTACTTGTTTACGATATTCTCCAATGTGGCAGCACCGGCGGAGAATGCACCACGCCTATATAAATATATTAAAAATGATTGAAATCGTATTGTAGTACTAGCTGTTGATTTTATTGCATGACATGTTTGTTGAAGTATTTATTTATTCAATAACAAGTTATTTCTTTTATCGTCGCATTGACAGTTCTTTATTACATTCCGCACGTAGCCGAAAAACAAATATATCTCCCCCTTCTGTTTGTTTTATTCATTTTCCTTATGTTTTTGCCCGACATTATTTATTTCAGAAAATGGGAGCAATAGGGCAAAAATACGTAAACGGTTTATGAAATTTCTTTATTTTTTCATAAAAAATAAGTATTAGGAAATTGTGAAATTAATAATACTACATCAACAGACATAACAAATTATTTTTTAAATTCCAAATATTTTAAGTGTACTGGTGTTAAGAAATTACTTAACACTTTTAATGTAAGTTATTATATCCAAAGTTATATATCCAAAGCAAGATAGTGCCCGCAGTTTATTTGTGAAATGAATTGTGAAAGATTTTTTTTAAACTCACCCCCCAGAAGGGGTGAAATAAATAAATAAATTTATTTTTTCGAAATGTCGAAGAAACGGTAAGAACAGAACTAGAAAAAAAAAGTTCCAATAAAAGTTGTGGAGCATCAAATTTTACATAGAAATGATATCTATACTTTTTTTACTCAGATTAACATTAACTCAGATAGGGTGACTAGAAGCTTGGATGATATTAGAAACTAAAAAAAAAATATCATTTTACAGTTGGGGGTTGGAACCTTTGATGTTACACCAGCAAAATAAAACACTAAATCACCACAATACACCAAAACACATTTACTTTTACACTGGAGAAGCGTTTCGCTAACCATGTTAGCATCATCAGCAGATGATTAAAACTAAGATAACAAATATAGATAAAGTTAGTTTTAATCATCTGCTGAGGATGCTAACATGGTTAGCAAAACGCGCGTCCAGTGTAAAAGTAATAGTGTTTTGTGGTGATTTAGTGTTTTATTTTGAAATTATATATTGCTGAAAAATGAATATATCATCTTTATGATTTTTATTCAATTTGTTTGGAAAATTATAAATTTCAATTAAGATTTTTTTAAAGTCTCCCCAAGAAGGGGTGAAAAGTATAAATAAAGTGTATTGTTTCAAATTTCAGAGAAACGGTAAGGACTTTGAAACAAACGTTTCAATGAAAACTGTCCCCTAGATTCTAGCCACCATAGAAATATTTATGTTAAAGCACTTAGCAAAATATAGACACCCAAAATCTCATTCAAATCGGAATAACGGTTCTTATATTATCATTCATAAAGTGTCTGAAAAAATGTGATTATTTTTTTAAAGTTTGATGCTCTTTGACGGACAACCGAAACAATATATAGAGGTAAATTTTGTCCAATGAACTTGTTCACGCATCTTATTATTTTTTTTAGTTTTCTTTAATTGCGTTTGGGCTTACAATACTTATTAGTATTATATAAATGATGTGCACAAATATACAGGGTGGTCCGAACTGTATTCCGGAAACTTTGGCAGCATATTCTGCAGATAAAAAATAAGTAAAAAAGTTCGTAGAAATGTATGTCCTAAAATGCTTAGTTTTGGAGATACAGGGTGTAGAAGTTTCATTTTTATTTTGATTTTTTCCAAATATTTCCTGAAGTAATAATAATATTTGGATGAAAATTGGTGTCTGGGAGTTTTTTGACATAAGAAATTTGGAGATTTTGATGTCAATATGACTCCTACTTGTAGAGGGCGCCACCTGCATGTTTTTTAACTGGTTTGAAGAGTAACAAAATTTTGCCCGTACCTGTATAAAACTATTGAGTAAGTAATTGAGTAAAAAATATACATTTACGACTCTTTTTACGTACTCTTGGTAAAAATCGCT